CCACAAGCATAAAGACATTACATATATTAGAAGCCAGCACTTTCTAATTACTTTATTTTCCACATCACCAGACTGGGCCACAGCAACGCGTGGCAGGGGACCGCTAGTAATATAATAAACTTTATATCCCGCCACCATCTCCCCAAAGTGGACTCGGGGCGGCTAACATGAGGCCAAACCCAAAATTAATACAGCAAAATGAGACACAAAACAACAAAAAATTAAACACAACAAAATGCATAAAAATATTAATAATAATAATAATAAAAATAATAAAACTTTATTTGTACCCCACTACCATCTTCCCAAGGGACTCGGTGCGGCTTACATGAGGCCAAGCCCACAAAGGCAATAACAAATAATCAATGCAAACAGTTAAAAAATAAAACAAATAAAAAATAAAACTCAAAACAAAAAATACACAATAAGCAATAAACAATAACAATAATAACATACAGCATTGCATTTAAAAATCTATGTATGCATAATGTAACGCAATAAAATAAACAGTTTATTAAATAAAATAAATAAAATAAAATAAAAGGTTATTCGAAGAAGGCATTGTTTGTTTTGGGATGTTAGGTAATATCACTGAAATTTGGTCCAGATCCATCGTTGGCTGGCTTCATTTCTCCCTGGATGAGTGTGAACTACAATTCCCAGTTTCCCAGGGCAATCGCCTCCATACCCTGAGAATATTTACAGTTGAACATGTTGGGTCTTTGTGCCAAGTTTGGTCCAGATTCATTGTTGACTGGATTCAGGGTTTTTTGGATAAGGTTGAACTACAACTCCCAGATCTGAGGTCAGTCACTCCCAGATTAGGCCTGTATGCACAGCTGGCCATGTTGGGTTTATGTGCAAAGTTTGGTCCAGATCTGTCGCCGGCTGGATTCAGTGCTTTCTGGATGTAGGTGAACTACAACTCCCAAAATCAATGTCCATTCCCACAAACCCCTGCAGTATATTCAGTTGGTCATGGAGCTTCTCTGTGCCAAGTTCGACCCTGGTTCATTGTCGGTGCCAAGTTTGCTCGCAGTCCATTGTTGATGGGGGTCACAGTTTCTTTGAATGTAGGCAAACTACAACTCCCCAAATCAAGGTCCATTCCCACAAATCCCTGCAGTATATTCACTTGGTCATGGGACTTCTCTGTGCCAAGTTTGGGCCTGGTTCATTGTAGGTGGGGGGTCACAGATTTTCTGTATATAGGCAAACTACAACTCCCAAAATCAATGTCCATTTCCTTAATCCCCTGCAGTATGTTCAGTTGGTCATAGGGCTTCTCTGTGCCAAGTTTGGTCCCGGTCCATTGTCAGTGGGGGTCGCAGTATCAGTGAAGGTACTGCAAGTCCCATCATCCATGGCAAGTTTGTTCATGATCCATCGTTGGTTGAGTTAACAGTGGTTTCTGGATGTAGGCCAAGTACAATTTCTGTAAGTCATGATGAATTCTCCCCAAACCCCTTGTTCAGTTGCTGATCAATTCCTCTCTTTGCTGTTTCCTGTGGGTAGGAAAGGGTTAAGGGAGAGGCATTGGGCAGGGCAATGCAAATTTCACACCAATGGAGAGAGAAAGGAACCCTGGGATGTCCATTCTGGAGGAAAAATGGAACATCTAGGACCCCCACAAGAAAGCTTTCACTTGGATACAGGGACCCAGATGTTCTGTTTTTGTGTTTGTGGTCCTAGATGTTCTGTTTTTGTGTTTTGTGGTCCTAGATGTTCTGTTTTTTTGTGTTTTGTGGTCCTAGATGTTCTGTTTTTTTGTGTTTTGTGGTCCTAGATGTTTTGTTTTTGTGTTTGTGGTCCTAGATGTTCTTTTTGTGTTTTGTGGTCCTAGATGTTCTGTTTTTGTGTCTGTGGTCCTAGATGTTCTGTTTTTGTGTTTTGTGGTCCTAGATGTTCTGTTTTTGTGTTTTGTGGTCCTAGATGTTCTGGTTTTGTGGTCCTAGATGTTTTGTTCTTTGTGTTTTGTGGTCCTAGATGTTCTGTTTTTTGTGTTTGTGGTCCTATATGTTCTGTTCTTTGTGTTTTGTGGTCCTAGATGTTCTGTTTTTTGTGTTTTGTGGTCCTAGATGTTTTGTTTTCATGTTTTGTGGTCCTAGATGTTCTGTTTTGATGTTTGTGGTCCGAGATGTTCTCTTCTTTGTGTGTTGTGGTCCTAGATGTTCTGTTTTTTGTGTTTGTGGTCCTAGATGTTCTGTTTTTTTTGTGTTTTGTGGTCCTAGATGTTCTGTTTTTGTGTTTTGTGGTCGTAGATGTTCTGTTTTTTGTGTTTCATGGTCCTAGATGTTCTGTTTTTGTGTTTTGTGGTGTTTGTGGAGGATACTGGCAGGGTTTGGGCTACACGTTCATGGCGCTCACTATAACCTGCAATGTCAGTAGAGGGAGGGACATAGGTGTCTCCTGCTCAGTGGGAACCATAGCCGTTTGTGGAGGCTAGAGTCAATTTGTGTAAGTGGACACCTCCGCCATATACACATTTTCACTTTTAATATGTGTATAGATAGATGGTTGGAATTCTTCCATCCTCCAGATCGTTGGACTACAACTCCCAGCCTTAATGACTGTCCTGGCTGCTGAGAGTTAGAGTCCAATGACACCTGGAGGGCAATTCCTGACCCTTTCATAGGGTCACATTTCGGTTGCAACTTGGTTGTCTCTCTGGTGTCAACATTCTCCCCCACCAACGGCGATTTCCTGTTTTACAAGAGGGAAGATTCGAGGGACTTGAAATCATGCACGTACACACACTTTTGTGGTCAGTGTGCAGGTCAGCACAATGGAAGGGAGTTGGACTTAGCCAATAAAGTGACCTCAACATAAGAGGGCAAGACAAGCTGACGAGTGGGGAGACTTCCCCAAGCGTTGAAATAAGGCCTACAGGTAGTCCCCGAGTTACAAACATCCGACTTGCAAATGACTCATAGTTAAGAACAGAGGTGAGACAAGAGGAGGTGAGAGAAATCTACCCCTCAGAAGGGAAATCCACTCCTGAAAGAGTTATTATCACGGGGGAAAGGTGTCTCCACTGGAGCTTTATCCCTAATCCTTGTTTCCACAACAAGCCAAACTTCTCACAAGGACAGAAAGTGAGGCAGACTCTTCTGAACAAGGCAGCAAAGGAAGCTCCACAGGGGTGTTGACTCTTCCCTATGCAACCCAAAGCTCATATGCATGTGTATGTGCCGCATACACATATATGTAAGGTCGCAGGCTTGAGTCTGAGGAGGGGGGGTGAGCTCCCACTGTCAGCCCCAGCTTCTGCCAACCTAGCAATTCGAAAACATGCAAATATGAGTAGATCAATAGGTACCACTCTGGCGGGAAGGTAACGGCGCTCCATGCAGTCATGCCAGCCACATGACCTTGGAGGTGTCTATGGATAATGCCGGCTCCTTGGCTTTAGAAATAGAGATGAGCACCAACCCCCAGAGTCGGACACGACTGGACTTAATGTCAGAGGAAAACCTTTACCTTTTCCTATGTGTGTCTATACATATATATATCGTCTTGTAGCGAGCCACCCATGGAAGCAGAAGTGCGGCAGTGGGTAGTGTTGACAAGGGGAGGTGAAGGCTGCCAATTGCATAATGCCTGTCTTGAAGATTATTGGTGCAAAGGCAATATGGCAGTGATGACTGGGAAACTCAGTGCCGTTGCACTGGTGATTTTCCTAGCTTCTCTTGCAAGTGCTTGGTGTCAGTGACCCCTCCAAAGCCATACCAAAATGGTGAATTAAGTCCCCTGCAACAAAGGGTTTGTGGATTTCATGCATATAGAAGCTGAATGAATGGGGCATAAGAGAGAGATGTTTATAGAGATTGCAGTTGCTCATTCACATCCTAATTTTGAGAAGAATCAATAGGTCGCTGTGCCCCCCCCCCCCCCCCAGAGAGCTTTGCATCTGATCCAGGTTTGGTTGGGTTTCGTTGTTTATTTATCACTTCGTTGGTCCTTTGTTACTCATGTTATTGGGTTTCCTTCTAGTGCTGTGCCACATGGAGGGCAGTGGCCAGTGGCCGCAAGACAAGGAAGCCATTAAGCGCATCAAAGCCGCTTTCCAGCTGCAACTGGCAGAACTCCTCAAACAGCAGCACCACCTGCTCTGTCGGCCGGCTCCCACCCACACTGATGTCTTTAAGGTAAGCGGGTTGGATCAGGTGTCATTGTTGCACTCCAGAACAAGAAATAGCCCCCTCTGACTATAAACACACCACACATTGAATGAAGGAACAATCCTTTTTTTAATTAAAGCTTAGCAAAAAAAAGACAGTAGAAATAAATGCTTGTAAAAATAGATAAGATTCCAAAAAGCAATAAGGTATTCAAAGGCAGCAAGATAAAACAGTGTCCAAATGTAGCCATCAAAAGCAATGTCCAAAAAGCATGAAAATACAATCCAAGGCAGTGATTATCCAGACAGGAATCAAACAAGAAGCAAGAACCGACCAGACACTGCTAGTCAACTTGAAAGGCTAGAAAAATCCATAAAGACGAGACCACTTGAACAGGAATTCCATGAGGCTTGTGCTTGGTTTCCAAACGATGCCTGATCTGACAAGATCCTCTAAAGGCAAACCTTAAATCTCAAAAACTGGTTTGGTTTTCCTTCAGTCTTTGACTTTAACTGACAAATTCTTTTGGATCTACGTAAACATTGGGCCTCTTGTCGATTCTGGCTAATCTCCAGTCACCGACTCTGCTTATCCGACTCATTAACTTTACCAGGTGTCAGACCGTTTTCTAAATTAGAATCTGGAGAGCTAACAAGAGGAGGGAGTAAACCTTTCTCCCAAGGCCTGACAGAAACATTCTCATGAGAATCAGCCCTTTGCACCGAAGCCCTTCTGTCAGTGTCTGCATGAAACTTATTGACCAAAGTGTCTCCATCTTGCACCTCAGAGTCAGTCCCAGCATCCCCCACATTAGACGCAGCAGGAGACTGATTTCCCTCCTCATTACCCACATCAGACACAGAAACATCAGGAGACTGAAACACAAGCACAGGTTCAATCACAGGCTTAGTCCCAACAGCCATTGGGTCAGAACTTGTCCTTGTTGTTGCTGTTACTTGTTGAATTATTGGAAGAGACTACAAGGGCCTTCGAGCCCAATTCCCTTTCATGTAGGAATACACATCTATATAAATAAAATGTAATGTTTGTTTGTGGATGAATTGACACCAAATTTGGACACCTATCAGGCTAGTGAGTGACCATTACTCATACAAACACTGAAAAACACAGCGAAAGAGACTTAAAAAGCAAAAGAAAATCCCCCAAAACCACAAATAGACACTGCAGTGCATGCGCAAAACAACTCCTCCTAGCAAACAAAACACACAAAAGCATATCCACACTCTCTTCCGGACTACAGCTCCCAGCATAATAATAATAATAATAATAATAATAATAATAATAATAATAATAATAATACTTTATTTATACCCCTCCTCCATCTCCCCCAAGGGGACTTGGAACGGCTTACATAAGGCCATGCCCATCAATACAGTAAACACAATATAAACACAAAACACAACAGCAAATCAGAAAATAAATGACATAAGATGGAAAACGAATATAAATAAGCAACACAAATCAAACATTAAAACACAAATAATCACACTGGGCAGGGCCAAATTCAAAGATAAAAATTTTAAAATACTGGGAGATAGGACAATGTAAAAATTGGAGGTGTAAATGTTTCAACTGACCACCTTGATTAACATTTGATGGTCCGACAGTTGTTTGGTGTGGCTTGTTAGTGCCTGGGGCAATCTTTTGTTGAGAGGTGATTAGATGTCCCAGATTGTTTCCTCTCTGTTTTTCTGCTGTTGTAATTTCAGAGGTTTTTTTCCAATACTGGTAGTCAGATTTTGTTCATTTTCATGGTTTCCTCCTTTCTGTTGAAATTTAAAAAAACTCTAAAATTAGAACAGCAAAACAACAGAGAGGAAACAATCAGGACATCTAATCACCTCTCAACAAAAGATTGCCCCAAGCACTGCCAGGCCATCAAATGCTAATCAAGGTGGTCAGTTGAAACATTCACCCCTAGCTCCAGCAGACAAGAGTTCTTTGTTCCACCCTGGTCATTCCACAGATATATAAACCCATTTTCCTAGTTCCAACAGACCTCACTACCTTTGAGGATGCTTGCCATAGATGCAGGCGAAACATCAGGAGAGAATGCCTCTAGAACATGGCCATATAGCCCAAAAAAACCTACAACAACCCAAATAAATAAATGCTGCATTTGGTGGTCCCTATGGAGACTTCTAGTCCACAACTGCATGGTATATGGTAGACTCCTACAGAGGTGGGAGGATCCCTCTTGTCCTCTGATGGGGACACTTTAATTGGAAGTGTATTGTGTGTCTCTGTGCATCAGATGGTTGGATTAGATGTCAATGCTTCCTTCCACCTCTCCATTTGTATTCATTTCCTACTTTGGAAGGCAGTTCACAGAATTTCTTGATTGGGGGAAAGTTGCCACTTGGGACTCTGTGTTCTAGAAAGCCATGAGTTCTGGGTAATAGAAAGTAGTTGCTTTTCCCATCCTCTGATTGTGGCCAGGATCTCGACACTCCCTCCAATGAATTCAGATTTCCAGTGAAACAAACTCAACATTTTCCCCAGAATTGGAAGTCCAAAGAATTAACCTTCCCTTATCCATGACTGTCTCCAGGACCAGTGGATTCAAGCAGCCAATTTCCCATCCTCTGATGGTGACTCAGACCAGTTCTGCTTGCACTCGGGTGAATCCGAATCTGGTATGAAGCAGATCCAGTGTTTTTCACTAGATTGGGCTGCCTGTCTGAATCCGGTTGACTGCCTTCCCACCTTCCCTGCGTGTGTTTCCTCTGCGGTTGGTCTCAGCCTGAATCATTTTGAAAGGACTCCAAGTTTGTTTTCCGTGGTGTTGTTTACTTCCTCATGTGGCACGAATTTGACGCAAAGAGGGTGACTCTGCTAAAACTGTGATTTGCAAACTTGGGTTTTTGGTTCCCTTCCAAGGCTACGCTTCTCCTGAACATTAAAAAAAATGTATATGCAGGAAGGCCTTTTGTGTTTGTTTCTCTGCAGCAGAAAATTGGGTGAGGGAAGAACTGGATACGTCTTTAGCAGAGTTGCACATGGCGACTTTGGCCTCCCGCAGCGCACTGGTCCCTCCAGAAAGCTGTACACAAACCCCACTTTGGCCTACTCATTTGGGAAATCTGCTGCACGCACGTGGAAATAAGCATCACACTGTCCTAGGAAGTTTTTCATGTGCTGGCTCTCTCCAGAGAATTTGCTTGGCATGGCCATGGGGGTTTTCACTGCTTGAGCTGCAGGAGCCAAAGCTGCAATCTGCTGTTGTAGAGTCTGCACCTGTTGTTGCTGGATTCATGGTGGCTGGTGTTAGCAAGGATTTTGAAGGGGGTCAGTCCAAACTGTTGCAACTCAGTGTTGCAATCCAGAGCAGGGAACGAGGCCCTAAGATAACTATCCACCACACTTGGCTGTGAAAAACAATCCTTTTTTATTGAAGAAAAATAGTTACAAAATAAAGGAAAAATGCAAGTCAAAAGCCACAGCAAAATCAGCAAACATGAATTTAAATGGACAAAGCAAAACCAAAAGCCTCACTGGGAAATACTGGAATCTGTTAGCAATCCACTAACCGTACTTGATATCCTAGAAATCTTCCCAAACTATGGCCAGGGAACCGGGAGAACTGCCAAGGTCTTCATCAATTCTGAAACGATGCCTGAACTGAGACAATCAGCCCGGCGTAATGCAATTAAAACTCAAGAATTGGTTCCGTGAACCGCCCTTCTTTTTTGAAGCCAATGTTTTTAATTCTTGAATTCGGGAGGATCGACGCAAACTGAGTGATTTACTTCTGTCTTCCCAAATTTGGCCCCTTCTGTTGTCATTACAGTTAACAGGTGCAGAAGGGAGGGAAAGTTCAAGGTCTCCCTCTGAAACATTCTCATGAACACTGGTACTTTCATTTTCCAAATCTACAGAAGTTCCTTCCTCACTAATTTCAGGAACATTGGCATTTTCCAAACCTACAGCAGTTTCTTCCTCACTAATTTCAGGAGCATTGGCATCAAAAGGTACATTTCCACTAGCATCAGTAAATATACTTTCATTAGCATCAGGAGGAACAAACAGAGAATCAGGTTCAAGTTCAAACTCAGGCTGAACCCCAAACTCAGGGTAGTTTTCACCTTGCTCCAGACACCACCACACCAAGGCTGTAGGTTTTTGTAGTTTACTGAGAAAAGCAAAATCAAAACAATAGAAATGCAAAAGTTCCATAGACAAAACAGAAACTTAAATGTAAAGGCAAAGTTCCCAAAATCCAAAGGCAAAAACATGAAGCATAATCCCTTAGCAATGGTCAAACAAAAGTCTATGGAAAACAGTTGAAAACAAGACCCAAATCCCAGATTCAGGAAGCCAGAAGCGTGCTGCGAAAAGCCAAGGAAAATCTCCAGAAGTTAACATGGGAAGAGCAATGTTGGACTGACAACAACTGCCTGTCAGCTACAAGACTAAATACCCTTTGCGAACATGAAAGCATTGCGTTGACCTTGGGCCCCTTTGGCTTCTCGCTTGCTGGCCAAGCGAGTGCTTCTCCGAAGCCTTAATTGCAAACGATCTTGTCTGCTCATTAATTCATTATCTGCAAGGCTATGCAACCCCTTATCTGGGTCCAGCTGGGACGGATCCTCCACCTGGCCGTGTGGGATTTCACTCTCACTATCAGTCTCTCTAACTGCAGGAACATTCCTTTCCCTGGGAAACTGACTTATAGTTTCTCCTTCAGCAGCCACACTATCAGCCCCATCTAAAACAAGTACAGGAATCTGTAAACCATCAGTCTCCTCATCCTCCTGTAGGAAATCAGACTCAGAAGGCCCAAAATCAGGCTCAGAAGGCCCAAACAGCTTAGCATCAGACTCAGAGTCAAGCTGAGTCACAACAGAATGTATTTTACTAGAACAGACATGGGCCAACTTCGATCCTCCCTCCAGATGTTTTGGAGGGACTCAGAACAGCTAACAGCAAGAATTCAAAGCTAAACAATAAATAACATGTTAAAACAACATACATAACACAATAGGTTGAAATACATATAAGACTAAAATACATATAAAACCATTCGCCAAGTTAAAAACATTGTCCAACTCAGTCGGCACATTGTGGTCCAATAACTTTAGTCTTTACCGGTCTCCGTCGTCACTCTGCGAATGTCTGATTCCAAAGCCAGGATTTCAATTGCTTCCTGAAGGTCAGGAGGGAGGGGACTGACCTAACTTCATTCATTAAGCTGTTTTTCTGGCATTGCAGATGAGTTGGTTGGTGGCTACTGGAAGAACACTTTGGTTTTCTCAATGCTCAATGGCAAGCCTAGTTTCTCGTATGCTTCTGCGAAGCTGTCATAGTGGATGAAGCAACAGCACCCCCCTGTGGCTGGAATCGAGCTTAACCTCCAGGCGCTGAAGTGGAAACACCAAAAATACCTTTGTCTGTGTATGCTTGCATTGTGATCCGCCCTAAGTCCCCTTCGAGGTGAGAAGGGCGGAATATAAATACTGTAAATAAATAAATAATAAGACACAACATCCTATTATTATTGAATCAGAATTGAAAGGCACCCCTGAATCTTCTGTTTCCCCCCTCAGGATGGCTATGTCTTCCGCCTCCAAGTGGCCTACCACCGAGAACCTCAGATCCTGAAGGAGGTGGTCACCCCAGAAGGCATGCTGAAGTACCAGGATAATCCAGAGTCCCAAGAGTTGGAGATGGAGACCCAGCTCTTGCCGTTCTTGACCAGCTCCCTCCATGGGTAAGTGGGGATGGCTCCTTTTAGGTCAGGGTTTCTCAAATTCTAGTCCTCCAAGTTCTGGGACTTCAGCTCCCAGAAGCCCCCATCATCTGCTGTAGTTTCTGAGAGTTTAGGAATCCCTGTTCTAGGCTGAAGTGGGCCAAGTACCTGTTCTGTCCCCCTGGCACATTGTCCAGATTTATTTATCGTGTCATCAGCCACCATACCATTGTATTACATTTCTAACAGAACAAAGCAAACAAACAGATAAAAAAACACAAATTTTGCAAATGGTGGCTGATTAAATGTCCTTTGACCAGTATCTGGCCACTTGGAGTGCCTCTGGTGTTGCCGCAAGAAGGTCCTCCATTGTGCATGTGGCAGGGCTCAGGGTGCATTGCAGCAGGTGGTCAGTGGTTTGCTCTTCTCCACACTCGCATGTCATGGATTCCACTTTGTAGCCCCATTTCTTGAGGTTGGCTCTGCATCTCGTGGTGCCAGAGCGCAGTCTGTTCAGTGCCTTCCAAGTCGCCCAGTCTTCTGTGTGCCCAGGGGGGAGTCTCTCATTTGGTATCAGCCACGGATTGAGGTGCTGGGTTAGCCTGCCACTTTTGGACTCTCGCTTGCTGAGGTGTTCCAGCGAGTGTCTCTGTAGATCTTAGAAAACTATTTCTAGATTTAAGTCATTGACGCGCTGGTTGATACCCAAACAAGGGATGAGCTGGAGATATCTCTGCCTTGGTCCTTTCACTATTGGCTGCAACTTCCCGGCGGATGTCAGGTGGTGCAATACCGGCTAAACAGTGTAATTTCTCCAGTGGTGTAGGCGCAGACACCCCGTGATAATGCGGCATGTCTCATTAAGAGCCACATCCACTGTTTTTGTGTGGTGAGATGTGTTCCACACTGGGCATGCATACTCAGCAGCAGAGTAGCATAGCGCAAGGGCAGATGTCTTCACTGTGTCTGGTTGTGATCCCCAGGTTGTGCCAGTCAGCTTTCATATGATATTGTTTCTAGCGTCCACTTTTTGCTTGATGTTCAGGCAGTGCTTCTTGTAGGTAAGAGCACGGTCCAGAGTGATTCCCAGGTATCTGGGTGCGCTGCAATGCTCCAGTGGGATTCCTTCCCAGGTGATCTCAGAGCTCGGGATGCTTGTCTGTTCTTAAGGTGAAAGGCACATGTCTGTGTTTTAGATGGGTTAGGGATCAGCTGGTTTTCCCTGTAATAGGCAGTAAGAGCACCTAGAGCTTCGGAGAGCTTCTGTTCAACCATCTCAAAGCTCCCTGCTTGAGCGGTAATGGCACTGTGTGTTCTTGCAACTGACTCTCATGGCACTTGAGTAAGAATGCAAGAAGCGAAGGCCAAGGAATGGAGAAGGTCCTTCTTTGTGGTCAGCTCTCAGAATCAGAGTTGCCAAACTGAAAGCTGGAGAGGGCCCACTATGTCACAAAATTAGAAAAATGTTCTGTTCCTGGTTTGAAAGTATTATTTCCTGTTTAATTGTGCGGTCCGTACTTTGAAAGTCATTCTTCTGCCCTGGAAACTTCGTTTTTGTGACTGCCACAAACCAGGTTGAATTGGTTGAGACTCGATAAGATATTCACTGAAAAACTAGAGCAAAATGTGCTGCAGGATGACGTCCCTCCCACAGAAACAAAGTTTTTACAGTTGAATAAATGTTTTCCAATGTTTTGATGATAGAACCAATTAGGAATTGATATTTATAACCCGGGAACAAAAATTGTGTTGCATAGTGTGATTGGTGGATTTGATTATTAAGTTCTTTCTAGGTCAGTGTTTCTCAACCTTCCTAATGCCATGACCCCATAATCCATTTCCTCATGTTGTGGTGACCCCCAACCATAAAATTATTTTAGTTGCTACTTCATAACTGCAATGTTTCCTACTATTCTGAATCATAATGTAAATATCTGATATGCAGGATGTATTTTCATTCACTGGACCAAATTTGGCATAAATACCCGATATGTCCGCATTTGAACACCGGTGGGGTTGGGGATTGATTTTGTAGTTGCTGGGATTTATAGTTACAGTCAGAGAGCATTCTGAACTCCACCCACAATGTAATTGAACGAAACATGGCACACAGAACTCCATGACCAACAGAAAATACTGGAAGGATCTGGTGGGCATTGACCTTGACTTTGGGAGTTGTAGTTCACCGACATCCAGAGCGCACTGTGGACTCAAACAATAATAGATGTGGACCAAACTTGGCACAAATACTCAATATGCCCAAATGTGAATCACTGGTGGAGTTTGGGGGAAATATACCTTGGCATTTGGGTGTTGTAGTTGCTGGGATTTACAGTTCACCTACAATCAAAGATAGAATTTGGCCAAACTTCCCACACAGAACCCCCATGACCAACAGAAAATACTGGAAGGATCTGATGGTCATTGACCTTGAGTTTGGGAGTTATAGTTCACCGACGTCCAATAATGGCTTTGGACCAAACTTGGCACAAATACTCAATATGCCCAAATGTGAACACTGGTGGAGTTTGGGGAAAATAGACCTTGACATTTGAGAGTTGTAGTTGCTGGGATTTATAGTTCACCTACAATCAAAGATAGAATTGGGCCAAACTTTCCACAAAGAACCTCCATGACCAACAGAAAATACTGGAAGGATCTGATGGGCATTGATCTTGAGTTTGGGAGTTGTAGTTCACTGACATCCAATAATGGATCTGGACCAAACTTGGCACAAATACTCAATATGCCCAAATGTGAACACTGGTGGAGTTTGGGGAAAATAGACCTTGACATTTGGGAGTTGTAGTTGCTAGGATTTATAGTTCACCTACAATCAAAGAACATTCTGAACCACAACAACGAGAGAATTGGGCCCTAACTTGCCACATAGAACTCCCATGACCAACAGAAAATATGTTTTCTGATGGTTTTTGGTGACTCTCTGACACCTCCTTGCGACACCCTCAGAAGTCCCAACCCCCAGGTTGAGAAACACTGTTCCAGGACATTCAGCTTGACTTTTTGATCAGTGTCTATCATAGAACTCTTTGGGTGACATTGGGCCAATTACATACATGAAATTAAATGGAGGTGACCCTTTTTTTTTTTTGCTTGAGATGCTTCCCCCATCGCATTTATTTATTTATTTATTTCGGGCATGTCTACCCCGCCCTTCTGACCCCTGAGGGGGGACTTAGGGCGGCTTACAAAAGGCACAATTCGATGCCAACAATTACAATAAAATGCAATAACAATAACACAATAGTTAAAAACATACAATTAATACAATATCAACTAAAAACCGCTCTATAGCCCGCGTTCATCGAGTTCTAAAATCCGTCAATCCATTTAGCATTACCATAGTCCTTTCCAACTCTAGTCATCATTACCTTTTTGATCTGCCAGATTACCCAAATCATTATATTCATAGAATCATAGAATCATAGAATCAAGAGTTGGAAGAGACCTCATGGGCCATCCAGTCCAACCCCCTGCCAAGAAGCAGGAATATTGCATTCAAATCACCCCTGACAATGGCCATCCAGCCTCTTGCTTAAAAGCTTCCAAAGAAGGAGCCTCCACCACACTCCGGGGCAGAGAGTTCCACTGCTGAACGGCTCTCACAGTCAGGAAGTTCTTCCTAATGTTCAGATGGAATCTCCTCTCTTGTAGTTTGAAGCCATTGTTCCGCGTACTAGTCTCCAAGGAAGCAGAAAACAAGCTTGCTCCCTCCTCCCTGTGGCTTCCTCTCACATATTTATACATGGCTATCATATCTCCTCAGCCTTCTCTTCTTCAGGCTAAACATGCCCAGCTCCTTAAGCCGCTCCTCATAGGGCTTGTTCTCCAGACCCTTGATCATTTTAGTCGCCCTCCTCTGGACACAGCTTCCTTCTAAAGGAGAGGAGGGATGTTGACGACCTGATTTCCCTGGAGTGAATTCCACAGGCGAGGGGCCACCACTGAGAAGGTCCTGTCCCTCGTCCCCACCAGTCTCACTTGTGATAAAGATGGGGCCGAGAGCAGGGCCTCCCCAGAAGATCTTAAACTCCGAAGTGGGACATAGAAGGAGATACGTTCGGACAGGTACGCTGGGCCGGTGCTGTATAGGGTTTTATAGGTCAAAACCAGCACTTTGAATTGTGCTTGGAACTGGATCGGCAGCCAGTGGAGCTGACGTAGCAGAGGAGTGGTGTGCTCCCTGTATGGTGATTAATCTGGCTGCCGCCCGTTGGACTAGTTGAAGTTTCCAAACAGTCTTCAAAGGCAACCCCACGTAGAGCGCGTTGCAGTAATCTATTCGGGATGTACCAAGGGCGTGGACCACTGTGGCCAAGGTACGGGCGCAGCTGGCGCACAAGTTTTAATTGTGCAAAAGCTCTCCCAGCCACCGCTGAGACCTGGGGTTCCAGGCTCAGCGATGAGTCCAGGATCACTCCCAAGCTGCGAACCTGCGTCTTCAGTTATATCAGTTTGCATATCAGTTTTGCCTTTTGCAATAGAGTCCAATAACAGAATCGTAGACTTCTGCAACAGAAAAGCTTCTGTCTCTACAGATCAACCTGGATACCTGTCCCAACCAATATGGGAATAACCTTTCTCCTTTCCTCATTCCTCCGCAGCCTCCAGCAGCAGCATCCGGCCTTCAGCGGCACTTCCCGCCTGGCCAAGCGCTGGATCAGTGCCCAGCTGCTGAGCGGCAGCCTCTCGGAGGAATGCATAGATTTGGTGGCAGCTTCCCTCTTCTTGAGCCCAGCGCCGTTCACGGCCCCCAGGTAACCATGGAACGGACCCCTTGCAGATACTTTAGAAAATAAACATAGAGTTTATCTACACTAGGCATGGACCAACTTTGGCCATCTCTCCAGGTGTATTGGACTTCAACTCCCACAATTCCTAACAGCCGGTTAACGGCCAAAGCACCTACAGGGAGGGTGACAGTTTGCCCATTCCTATTATATCATGGCCAAATTGAGATGTGCAAAAAATATTTTCATCCATGGATGCAGAATCCATGGATACAGAGAGACAGCAGTACATTTTGAGCTGCTCCAACTCCATCCAATGTTGCTTCCCATGCCGCTGCTTTGTTCATCACCTCATGGATGCTGATGTGTGGTGTAATGTAAAAAACAACAACGTGTAGTTCATGTTGGATCGGCCCACACACAGCCTTGCCATGAAAATAAAATATGTCATGCAGGTGAACAGTAAAGATAAAAAAGGTCTGGGGGTTTAGCACAGCTGGTAAATCACCAGTAGTTATAAGATCTATCAACTGAAAAGTTGCAAGTTTGAAGCCCCGGGTCGGCGTGAGTTGCCAACTGTCAGCCCAGCTTACTGTTGATCTAAGCAGTTCGAAAACAGCTTGAGCTGTAATTAGAGAAATTAGGTACCACTAAAAACAGAGGTGTATTACGACCACATAAAGAAGATTAGAAAATGCCCGGTGACCAAAAGGAAGGAGGAAGTCCTGATGGCTTTTTGTCATAGAAGATGGAGTGACAGCAACCCCTCTGGCTGAATTCGAGCAAAGCTGGACATTGAGTTGAAACAACACGCCTCCTTCTGTTCTGTCTGTCTCTGTACTGTCTTATTCAAAGCAGCATTGAATGTTTGCCGTGTATGTATACTATGATCCGCCCTGAGTCCCTTTCAGGGTGAGAAGGGCGGAATATAAATAAAGTGTTAATATTATATTATTCTTAATTCCTGAGAGACTTAAAATGGTTCTTTCTGTATCTATATGAGAGACCTTTCAGCAGCCAATTAGTCTCTCTCTCTCTGCTTCTCTCTTCTTCTGTTTGCACATGCATAGTTTGAGCCTGAACAAAAATGCAACAGTATACAAAAGTTCCAGGCTCAGCCATCACACCAATCAGCTTCATGCATTTTATTTCGCAGTTGACACGCGCACGTTCATTGATTCCTTGCATCCTCCAACATGTTTTCGATAGAGCTTTCCACCCTCCTCATGCTTTTTCTTTCTCCCTCCTTGCAGCTCTCCTCAGGTGGGCTTCCTGCGCTTCCTTCACCTGTTGACCACCTTTGACTGGAAGAACAGCCCCCTCATTGTGAACCTGAATGGGGACCTCAAGGGTGAGGACGAGGAAACGGGCAAAAGAGGGAGGAAGGCGGGTTGTATGTTCCAAATTCCATTCGTAGCAGGCCTGGGCCAACTTGGGCCCTCCAGGTGTTTTGGACTTCAACTCCCACAATTCCTAACAGCCGATAGGCTGTTAGGAATTGTGGGAGTTGAAGTCCAAAACACCTGGAGGGCCCAAGTTGGCCCAGGCCTGATTTCTAGAATTGCAAGCGACTTTGTGAACTCTCTTTGCTTGTGTTTTCTGCATGGACTTGTCTCAAAGGAAGCCTTCCAAGTGGCCTAATCTGTTTGTATTTCCTGGATTCTTACACGTTATACACCCTGGGTTTGGTTACCTGATCCCTCTGGCAAAGCCATGTACTTTGTAATCCAATTTGTACCGTTCAAAACCTTTCCTGCTCCTTTCGTTTCGTTTAATTTTCCTTTCCACCTTAGAATCTTAAATACTTGGCTTGTTGGGCCTCTTATTTACTCAATATGTAAGGTTTTTCTGGATCACCTCCAAACCCACAAGTCTTCCTGACATATTGAAAAAATAAAAGCAATTAGAACTGGACAAAGATAATTTGAGTCGCCTTTGAGTGATGGCAATCCTATTTATTTACTTATTTATTTACGACATGTATATGTCGCCCTTCTCACCCCGAAGGGGACTCAGAGCTGCTTACAAGATATATATATATATATATAGAGAGAGAGAGAGAGAGAGAGAGAGAGAGATAGATAGATAGATACAATAATATATTATTGTACTATGCTATAATGCAATATAATGTAATATATTATATTATTATATTATATTGTATTGTATTATAGCATAGTACAATATCAGTATTATATATTACTATATTATACTATACCATTATATTGTAGTAATATTAGTAATTTTACATGTAATACAAAATATATAATTATAATATTGTATTATTATTAGTAGTATCATATTGTATTGCATTATCTATATAAATAAAAATGTAATGTTCGTTTGTGAGATTAACGTAACTCAAAAACCACTGGGCCAATTGACACCAAATTTGGATACAATACAATACTTCAACTCCCACAATTCCTATTTAATATAAAATAAATAAAAGGCAGAATAACAAGAGATCCAATTCCCAATATCCGGATGCTGGTTAATGGAGGAAGGCAGGGAGTTTCAGAAAAACATCTTTTTCTGTTTTATTGACTACTAGTTGTATCCGCCATGCGTTGCTGTGGCCAACCTTCCCTCTTTCTCCTTCTTTCCTCCTTCCTTCACTCCCTTTTTCCTTCCTTCCTTCCCATCTTTCCTTCTCTTCTTCCTTCCGTCTCTGTCTCTTTCCTTTCTTTCCCCCTTTTCTTTCTCTTCTTCTGTCTCTCTTTTCTTTTTCTCTCTTCCCTTCCTCTTTCTCTACATCTTCCCCCTTCCTTCACTCCCTCTTTCCTTCCCTCTTTCCCTTTTTTTCTTTCCTTCTCTCCTTCCTTCCTTCTATAACTTTCCTTCCTTCCCCCTTTTTCTTTTCCTCCCTCTTTCTCTCCTTTGTTCCTTCTCTACCTCTTTCATTCCTTCTCCCTTTCTTTCTTTCTTTCTTTCTTTCTTTCTTTCTTTCTTTCTTTCTTTCCCTCCCTCTTTCTTTTCTTTTCTTTTCTTTTCTTTCTTTCTTTCTTTCTTTTTTCTCCCCTTCCTTCCTTCCTTCTTCCTTTTTTCTGTATTGTCATGTAGCTTTCTGTCATTTATCTTTTGGGGGCTTTTAAAGTCCCTTCTGCTGTGTTTTTCAGTGTTTTTATGAGTGAAGAACATACATTGGGAAGTTAGGTGCCTTGTGTCCAAATTTGGTGTCAATTCCCCCAGTGGGTTTTGAGTTATGCTCATCCCACAAACGAACATTACATTTTTATTTATATAGATTCTAAAGCCTTTTCCTGTGGTGAGTTCTTGGTGGTATGAGTGTTCAGGGTTTTCAGCTTTTGTCTAGTTGGAAGTTTATTTTATATACTGACCCATTTTATAGCATCCGACTTGCTTGCTCACAGAGTTTGGGAAAGTTAGTACTTCAAAGCTCAGGATACCGAAAGCTCAAAGGCTCACAATATTTCAATCGCAGTCTTGCAGTTAATGCAGGCGGGTCTTTGAGCTGGGTGGAAAATGGATCTGAGGAAGCCTGAGCTTTAATCTATGGTGTGCCATAAAATACTGCTTACGTCTTTATCTAAAATCAAAGAGGGCAACTTAAATCTTTAGCCATTCTTCCTCCGCTTAAGCTTTTTTCCTCATTCTCACTGCATCGCAAAACACAAGACCTCTCCTCTCACATGGGGATAGTTCGGTGAAACCATTTAGAAATGTTCAATGTATTGTCGAAGGCTTTCATGGCCGGAATCACTAGGTTGTTGTAGGTTTTTTCGGGCTATAAGGCATGTTCTAGAGGCATTTTCTCCTGACGTTTCGCCTGCATCTATGGCAAGCATCCTCAGAGGTAGTGAGGTCTGTTGGAACAGTTCCAAATGGGTTTATATATCTGTGGAATGACCAGGGTGGGACAAAGGACTCTTGTCTGCAGTGCCTTTCATGTTCCTTGATTCGTGTTTGTGCGCTGCGTTTGGTGGTGTAGACTTGTCCACAGCTGCATGGTATCTAGTAGACTCCTGCAAACTACTTCAACCAGAGAAGTCAGCCATAGCAGAGCACCTGATGAACCAACCTGGACACAGCATATTATTTGAGAACACAGAAATGCTGGACCACATCAACAACCACCATGTCAGACTACACAGAGAAGCCACTTGAAATCCACAAGCATGTGGACAATTTCAACAGAAAGGAGGAAACCATGAAAATGAACAAAATCTGGCTACCAGTATTAAAAAAAACTCTAAAATAACAACAGCACAACAACAGAGAGGAAACAAACAAGGACATCTAATCGCCTCTCAACAAAAGATTGCCCCAGGCACTGCCAGGCCATCAAATGCTAATCAAGGTGGTCAGTTGAAACATTCACACCTAGCTCCAGCAGACAAGAGTCCTTTGTCCCACCCTGGTATTTCCACAGATATATAAATGGTAGAACAGAAGCTTTCCGAAGCTCTAGGTGCTCTTACTGCCTATTACAGGGAAAACCAGCTGATCCCTAATCTCATCTAAAACACAGACATGTGCCTTTCATCTCAAGAACAGACAAGCATCCCGAGCTCTGAGGATTATTACCTGGGAAGGAATCCCACTGGAGCATTGCAGCGCACCCAAATACCTGGGAGTCACTCTGGACCGTTACCTACAAGAAGCACTGCCTGAACATCAAGCAAAAAGTGGATGCTAGAAACAATATCATACAAAAGCTGACTGGCACAACCTGGGGATCACAACCAGACACAGTGAAGACATCTGCCCTTGCGCTATGCTACTCTGCTGCTGAGTATGCATGCCCAGTGTGGAACACATCTCACCACGCTAAAACAGTGGATGTGGCTCTTAATGAGACATGCCGCATTATCACGGGGTGTCTGCGCCCTACACCACTGGAGAAATTACACTGCTTAGCCGGTATTGCACCACCTGACATCCGCCGCGAAGTAGCAGCCAATAGTGAAAGGACCAAGGCAGAGACATCTCCAGCTCATCCCCTGTTTGGGTATCAGCCAGCACGTCAACGACTTAAATCTAGAAATAGTTTTCTAAGATCTACAGAGACACTCGCTGGAACACCTCAGCAAGCGAGAGTCCAAAAGTGGCAGGCTCAAACCCAGAACCTCAATCAATGGCTGATACCAAATGAGAGACTCCCCGCACAGAGAACTGGGTGACTTGGAAGGCGCTGAACAGACTGCGCTCTGGCACCACGAGATGCAGAGCCAACTTTCAGAAATGGTGCTACAAAGTTGAATCCGCGACATGCGAGTGTGGAGAAGAGCAAACCACTGACCACCACCTGCAATGCAACCTGAGCCCTGCCACATGCACAATGGAGGACCTTCTTGCAGCAACACCAGAGGCACTCCAAGTGGCCAGATATTGGTCAAAGGACATTTAATCAACTACCAAACTCACAATTTTTGTATTTTGTCTGTTTGTTTGCTTTGTTCTGTTCTGTTAGAAATGTAATATAATTGACTGGTTGCCCTGACATGATAAATAGGTAACCCTGGTAATTCCACAGATATATAAACCCTTTTTCCTAGTTCCTACAGACCTCACTACCTCTGAGGATGCTAGCCATAGATGCAGGCAAAACGTCAGGAGAGAATGCCTCTAGAACATGGCCATAAAGCCCAAAAAAACCTACAACAACCCATTTAGAGATTTTTTGGGTGCCAAGGCACATCACATGAGCATGAAAATATCCACAAACGCATGCCTCAGTATCATGAATTTGTTCCCACGAAAATGGAAAAATATAGCACACCAGCGCCAGTAATATCTTGCCTCACTGCATGGCTTTAGTCTGTTTGCCGTCAACTCTGGGTGCGTAGATGTTTGACAAAATTGGCCTCATGGAAAAGCTAATAAGATAAGGTTCTCGAAAAAGGCTTGGCTTAACCTGATGCTGTTCCAGCAAAGTGGAAATGGGTATTAGTTTGTGTGATTGTGGACTCTTCTACGATGTAATATTTGGGGACGGGAATTGCCTAGAGTACAGGACTCAGTTGTCCAAAATATAGTGTGATATACATGGTTTGGTTACACCACATACAAATCAAGGAACATGAAAGGCACTGCAGGCTAATTCAACCGGAGAAGTCAGCCATAGCAGAGCACCTGATGAACCAACCTAATTTATTTATTTATTTATTTATTTATTTCACATATTTGTATCCTTCTCTGCCAGGTCTACACACTTTGCTTGGAAAGTAAGCAGTATTAGTTGTAGTTAGTAGGCATGGATAGGTGCCGCCGGAATTTTCGTAATTCAGAATAAAGTCAGAAAAATTATCTTTTTGGAGCGATTTTGAAAGTTTTAAGAAAACCGGAAGTCCCTTTGCCCTTCCAATGCTTTCTCCGCCATTTTTGTTACTACTCATGAAGTGAGTTGGAAATTATTCAGCTTTTCCCCACTTCTGTTCCCTGGCCTCGGCTCAAGCCAGAAAAGCCAGTTTTAAACCAGAGAAGGAAGGAATTTCCTCTGCTTGCTTTTCCCTGCTTCTGGAGTAAAACAACTACTTTCAAAGTAAAGTCCACCCAGTGAAACAGGAAATAACACCTTCAAACCATTAACGAAAGGATTCGGAAGTCTCTGAAGTTTCGAAAAGTTTTGAACATTTTTTTCTGTGAAAATCGGAATTGACTTTAGAATCGAACCACCGACACTCCCTACAACCAAAATGAGTTTTGAACCATTGTTTTTTGGATCAACCAAACCAAGTAGTTAGTATGGAGACCATCAATGAATGGTCATTGTAGGCTATATTTTGAATGAAGAATTTGCATGAACAGAATAATCCGGGAGCGTCCTTAATCCCATGTCTCTCCAAGAGTTTGTTTGGTGTTGAAATCTGAGATGCATCAGCCATGTAATTCCTGGTCTCTATACCAGGAATTCTCCATAGATCCCCATAGATCAGTGTTTCTCAACCTGGGGGTCGGGACCCCTGTGGGAGTCGCGAGGGGGTGTCAGAGGGGTCGCCAAAGACCATCAGAAAACATAGTTGGTCATGGGGGTTCTGTATGGGAAGTTTGGTTCAATTCCATCGTTGGTGGTTCAGAATGCTCTTTGATTGTAGGTGAACTATAAATCCCAGCAACTACAACTCCCAAATGTCAAGGTCTATTTTCCCCAAACTCCACCAGTGTTCACATTTCAGCATATTGAGTATTCCTGCCAAGTTTGGTCCAGATCCATCATTGTTTGAGTCCACAGTGCTCTCTGGATACGAGTGAACTACAACTCCCAAACCTAAGGTCAACCCACCTAACTCTTCTAGTATTTTCTGCTGGTCGTGGAAGTTCTGTGTGCCAAGTTTGGTTCAGTTCCATCACTGGTGGAGTTCAGAATGCTCTTTGATTGTAGGTGAACTATAAAGCCCAGCAACTACAACTCCCAAATGTCAAGGTCTATTTCCCCCAAACTCTACCAGTGTTCACATTTCCGCATATTGAGTATTCATGCCAAGTTTAGCCCAGATCCATTATTGTTTGAGTCTATAGTGCTCTCTGGATGTAGGTGAACTACAACTCCAAAACTCAAGGTCAATGCCCACCAAACCCATCCAATATTTTTTGTTAGTCATCGGAGTTTTGTGTGCCAAGTTTGATTCAATTCCATCATTGGTGGAGTTCAGAATGCTCTCTGATTGTAGGTGAACTATAAATCCTAGCAACTACAACTCCCAAATGACAAAATCAATCCCCACTAATCCCACCAGTATTCAGACTTGGGTGTATTGGGTATTTGTGCCAAATTTGGTCCAGTGACTGAAAATACATCCTGCATATCAGATATTTACATTACGATTCATAACAGTAGCAAAATTGCAGTTATGAAGTGGCAATGAAAATAACGTTATGATTGGGGGTCACCACCACATGAGGACCTATACTAAGGGGTCGCGGCATTAGGAAGGTTGAGAACCTTCCTAATGCCGTAGATGGTCCTCAAAGCTAGTCTGCCCAGTTCCTTCTGACCATGCTTTTGGTTGTGAGCTATTGTATCCTTGTGTTCCCCTATTTACCATGGGGGCAGTTGGACAATAAGAATTTATGTAACTCATTTATTTGTTAGTATGAGAAGAAGATTCCCTTGGCATGGCTATAGGCATTGAAAAGAGGATCAGAATGTGGCCAAGCTGCATTTTTCAGATGTGCACGCCCTGAGATGAATGAGAGCAAAGGTTATCTCGTTCGGCTCATAACTCAAAGAAACCATTGTCCACCATGTAGATGGACAATCGAGTCTGACCCCGAAAGGCCATAAGCTTGAAAGCAGGTGCTTCCTGGGAAGCTGTCTGCAGACACAATATCTCCAGTTGACGCAAGGCAGAAGCAAGGTTCTTGTCACCCAAACATTAATTCTCCAAGTCATAAACATGAAGGTCTGTGAAACTCGCAGAGTACTGACCGTTTTGACTGCAGTTCTGTTCTTCAGAAATGCAAAATCCTCTAACATCTTGCCATTGTGGTGGAGCTGTGACAATATTGTGGCCCAATATTGGGGAAAAAATTGCTTGGTCTATCACATCTGATACAAGTTGAGTATCCCATATCTGAAACTGTCGGAACCCAGATGCCTTAAAGAGCCAGACACAGGAGTATAACCAAAACAATAGTTTATTAAAGCAAAGTAAACAGGACTCAGAAACACTTGCTTCAATGTCTCTGGTCAAAACTTAAAGTTTGCAGCAATTTGCAGCTTGAAAAACAAACTCAGAAAATAACCCGGATTAAACTGGCAAAAAACCCGGATTAAACAGTTCTTCCAAAACACACCAAAATCACACAGTTCAAAGGTAATAAGCAAACAAAGAGCCGTGAAGAGAAGTCGTCCAGAAGCAGTCCAAAGTCGAAGAAATCCCAGTTGAAAGTCCCAAAGTCCAAAAGGCAGCGTCGTCGTCAAAATCAGTCCGAAGTCAAGGAGAGGGGAAATCCGCACTTACGAGAATCCAAGCCGGTCGATACATGAAGCAAGCAGCAACCTTCAGATCCAGGACCCAAGCCTAACAAGAGAAGCAGCAGCGACAAGACCCAAGGCACGAAACCAACACTTTGCCTACTGCAAAGTTCTATCATTCCGACGATGAGCTGCCCTCCATCCCATCCTCATCACTATCAGCTGGCTTAGCTTCTACAGCTGAACGCCAACGCCCATCCCTCCAACTCTTCCACCTCTTGTCAAGACTTAGGTCTCCCCATGATTCCATGGTATCACCAGATTGCCAATCCCCACCACCAGAAAACCCTTCAAAAGTGTCACTGGACATTGGCTGAGTACACACATTCTGAACCTCCTGTATCTTGGTCCAATCCAATGGTTCCTCTTCATCCCCACTACTCCCAGACCCATCATTCCCAGAAAAACCCATGAAATCCTCTTCCTCTGTGGGAGCAGTAAGTATGTCCCGGATCTTCTTTCTCTGATGCTCCTCATCTGACTCCTGCTCTCGAGTAATCCTCTTAGTGCCTCTATTCCCACCTGAATCTCCTTCCTCCTCCTCACTCATTTCACTCTCGGAGAAACCTTCAAAGGATTCTTCATCAGTGGGTGACATAAGTATCTCCTGGATTCTCTTCCTTTGCTGCTCCTCATCTAACACCTGGGCACCTCGTTTCCCTCCTCTACCACTCCTACTATTGATTGCAGCATTGCCAACAGACTCAACTACAACAGAAACTCTTGGGACCAGGAGTGTTGTGGATTTTGGATTTTTTGTTTGTATTCTGGAATACTTGCATATAACTATTGAGATGTCTTGGAGATGGAGCTCAAGTCTAAATAATTTACATGAGGCCAAGCCCAATAAACAAATTGCAACAAAATAAAACTAAAAATACATGCAACGAACAACATCATAATTACATAAAACGTATGAATACATTAACAATATAAGAGATTACAATGGGCAGCTACAGCACACCCAAATACCTGGGATTCAGTCTGGATCATGCGAGAAAATGATTAAAAAACCGATTAAAAACTGATTAAAAACACGGGTGAGATAAAAGGAGAAGCAGGTTATTTGCGGAGGGGGGCTCATTTTGTGGAATCGAGCTTTCCCACGAGGCGGGAGGGTGGCGTATGAAGTTTGTTTACATTGAACTATCAGAAAGCAAAGGTGTCGCTTTCTCAGTCACCCAGGTGGATAATTTTAGATTTTGGAGCATTCCAGTTTTTGGAATTCGAGATACAGGTTGCTTAACTTGTAGTTTGGGAACCACTAACCTTTATGGCACCAGATATGTCAATTTTGTGGTTGTGAAACATTTCACGAGGAGAAGATCATCTAGTGAGCGTGGTTATTAGTAGACTATCAGAGAGGGTCTTCTTGAACATGATATAGGAACCTAGGACACATAGTTGGAGGGCATCTTCCCAGAAGATGTTTCATTTCTGTGTTTGTTTTTGTTTGTGTGTCCAGAAACTGACCATGTGGAGATCCAGAACCATTTTGTGGGCGCCCGGCTTCAGCTCCCAGTCATGTTCATTGCCACCCCCAGAGACCAGCGTAACTCAGTGTGGACCAAAGAGAAGCCTTCAGCCCAGGTGAGTGGATCATCAACTGTGTTGGCCTGGTTAAGTCATTCCTTGCCACTTCTAATCTCTTCTCCCTTCTGAAATGCCCTGGTCTTTATTCATGAGTAATTATTTAAATGGAACAGATCTATGTGTACAGTTGTGTGGTTGCTATTCACATGTATTTGCTGTTAGATATCCGCTCACAATGATTTAGTGGCTGGGGTTTGAATTCCAGCTCAGAGGGCATCTATTCTTTTGGGCAACTGTGCATTATTTTGAAGCTGTTTATATTTAATTCTGTTTTAATGTTTGCATATTTGTATAAGTTCAATTGTATGCTGGAGCCCCCGGTAGCGCAGTGGGTTAAACCCCTGAGCCGGCAGGACTGAAGACCGACAAGTCCCAATTCGGATCCAGGGAGAGGCGAATGAGCTCCCTCTGTCAGCTCCAGCTCCTCGTGCGGGGGCACAAGAGAAGCCTCCCACAAGGATGATAAAAACATCAAATCATCCAGGCATCCCCTGGGCAACGTCCTTGCAGACAGCCAATTCTCTCACACCAGAAGCAACTTGCGGTTTCTCAAGTTGCTCCTGACATGACCAAAAAAATAATAATTGTATGCTAATGCTTTTATGGGAAGCATAATTCGTCGATACATCACACAGTCCTAGACACTTGGGAAGTGTCCGACATGTCGTAGAATCATAGAATCCTAGAGTTGGAAGAGACCTCATGGGCCATCCAGTCCAACCCCATTCTGCCAAGAAGCAGGAATATTGCATTCAAATCACCCCTGACAGATGGCCATCCAGCCCTTGTTTAAAAGCTTCCAAAGAAGGAACCTCCACCACACTCCGGGGCAGAGAGTTCCACTGCTGAACGGCTCTCACAGTCAGGAAGTTCTTCCTCATGTTCAGATGGAATCTCCTTTCTTGTAGTTTGAAGCCATTGTTCCATTGCGTCCTAGTCTCCAAGGAAGCAGAAAACAAGCTTGCTCCCTCCTCCCTGTGATTTCCTCTCACGTATTTATCCATGGCCCTCATCATATCTCCTCTCAGCCTTCTCTTCTTCAGGCTAAACATGCCCAGCTCTTTAAGCCGCTGCTCATAGGGCTTGTTCTCCAGACCCTTGATCATTTGAGTCGCCCTCCTCTGGACACTTTCCAGCTTGTCGATATCTCTCTTCCATTGTGGCGCCCAGAATTGGATACAATATTCCAGGTGTGGTCTAACTAAGGCAGAATAGAGCATGGGGAGCATGACTTCCCTAGATCTAGACACTAGGCTCCTCTTTATGCAGGCCAAAATCCCATTGGCTTTTTTTGTCGCCACATCACATTGCTGGCTCATGTTTAACTTGTTGTCCACAATGACTCCAAGATCTTTTTCATATGTCCTCCTCTCGAGCCACGCGTCCCCTATTCTGTATTTTTGCATTTCATTTTTTTCTGCCTAAGTGGAGTATCTTGCATTTGTCCCTGTTGAACTTCATTTTGTTAACTTTTGGCCCATCATCTCTCTAATCTGTCAAGATCATTTTGAATCCTTGGTGAAAATAAAGTTGACAGCCCTGCCCTAAAATCTTTCCTGTTTCTTTCAGATTCTACAGCGTCTCCTTGTATTGGCTTTGGAGTCTCTTCGGGTTTTGGAGGAGCAGCTCATGGACCCTTTGGGAAGCCAAGACGTCAAGGTAGGCTCCTTACAATAGAGCCCAAATTCTACTCTGGAGTAGATGGGTCGGTCCAGCATTTGTGGTCTTCCCCTCAATTTTTTTGGGCTGTATGGCCATGTTCCAGTAGCATTCTCTCCTGCTATTTCACCTGCATCTGTGGCTAATGACATCTTCAGAGGTTTTGTTGGCAGTGAAGCAAATGGAGTGTGTATATATACCTATGGAATGATGCCCAGGGTGGGAGAAAGAACCCTAGTCTGTGTAAAGCAAGTGTGATGTTGTAATTAGCAAGCTTGAGTAGCCGTCCAGCTGCAGAGTCAATCGGTGAAGATATCAGCATAGAGGTAGGCTGGCCTTTGTTGCCTGGAGGCACCCTCTGTTAGGGAGGATTTAGCTGGCTCTATATTTATTGTCAAAGGCTTTCATGGCCAGAATCACTGGGTTGCTGTAGGTTTTTTTGGGCTATAAGGCCATGTTGTAGAGGCATTCCCTCCTGACGTTTCACCTGCATCTATGGCAAGCATCCTCAGAGGTAGTGAGGTCTGTTGGAACGAGGAAAATGGGTTTATATCTCTGTGGAATGACCAGGGTGGGACAAAGAACTCTTGTCTTCTGGACCTAGATGTGAATGTTTCAACTGACCACCTTGATTAACATTTGATGGCCTGGCAGTACCTGGGGAAATCTTTTGTTTGAGAGGTGATTAGAGGTCCCAGATTGTTTCCTCTCTGTTGTTTTGCTGTTGTAATTTTAGAGTTCTTTTTAATACCGGTAGCCAGAATTTGTCCATTTTCATGGTCTCTTCCTTTCTGTTGAAATTGTCCACATGCTTGTGTATTTCAATGGTTTCTCTGTGTAGTCTGACATGGTGGTTGTGAGAGTGGTCCAGCATTTCTGTGTTCTCAAATAGTATTCTGTGTCCAGGTTGGTTCATCAAGTGCTCTTCTATAGCTGACTTCTCTGGTTGAATTAGTCTGCAGTTCCTTTAATGACCTTTGATTCATGTCTGGTCAATGCTACTGCGTTTGATAGTCCCTATATAGACTTGGCCACCTCCCAAACAAAGGGTGCTTCCAGGCAACAGAGGCCAGGCTACCTCAATCCTCAGGCTGATATCCTCACTGATTGAATTTGAAGCTTCATGGCTTCTCAAGCTATTCAAGCTTGCTTATTACAACATTCACACTTGTTTCAAGCAGACAAAGGTTCTTTCTCCCACCCTGGACACTCCACTTGCTTCACTTCCAACAGACCTCTGAAGATGCCAACCACAGATACAGGTGAAACATCAGGAGAGAATGTTACTGGAACATGGGCCTACAGCTTGAAAAACTCACAGCAACCCAGTGATTCTGGTCATGAAAGCCTTTGAGAACTTATTTTGCCTTGTTTGAGTCCTGGGCTGTGAGTCGGAGAAGGGAATGCCTGAACTCGATGCCTCAGTGTTTGTGAAGATGCGCAGATGGCACTTGAGTTTATGTCATGCTGAGTTGCCTCTGACATCTACTCAGAAGAGAATCTGCTTGGTGGGCGGTGGGGAGGATGTTGACTTTCCCACCTTGTGCTGAGTAACCAGAATTGGTTCCTCTTTTGGGTTTGGGATCTGGGCCTCTTTTCTCAACTAAAGGATGTCGATGAGAAATGAGTTCAACCAAGGACAACTATGCAGCTGCAACTTGTCTTGCAGAATCCCATGGCAAAGAAAGGATTCATCCCTCCATAAACCAGAGTGGTTTATGGGGTGGTTTGGGGATTATTATTATTTTTATACTGGGATTTTAGGGAAGAGGAAGGACAAAAAGGTTGTCAAAAATACCCCAATAAGGAAAAATATGAAACATGACTTGATCTCTATTCCTGATCTGGAAAAAAAAAAGTGTTAATGTGTGGCCATCCCTCCTCATTCTCTGGGATTAGAAATTTAGGACCCCCACAAAAATTGTATAAAATACTGTTGTTTTTTTCACCTGAGAAATTGATCTAAAAATGTCTAGGTCCTCCAGCACAACTTTGTGAACATCTGATAATAATGATGATGATGATGATGATGATAATAATAATACAAAGACTCTGGCACAAGCTCGGCACATTGTGTGCAGTGCCTAAAGAACTTGACTTGCACTTAAACACAATCAGCGCTGACAAAATTACCATTTGCCAGCTGCAGAAGGCCACCTTACCGGGATCTGCACACATTATTCGCCAATACATCACAGAGTCCTAGACGCTTGGGAAGCGTCCGACGTGTGATCGAATATGAAAGTCGGCATAGTGATCTTGTTTGCTGTGTATTCATCTTGTTTTGTATCAAATAATAACAACAACACAGTAGAGTCTCACTTATCCGACATAAACGGGCCGGCAGAACATCAGATAAATGAATATGTCGGATAATACGGAGTCTCCTCCTGTTACCCATCTGACGCGGTGCTAGACACCTAGAATATTAACAACAGGGACTCAAAAAGTTAAAGCAAGGCAATGCCTTGGGGCTAGAGTGGCCCAGCAGGAAGTGCCCAGATGCAGAAGAGGAGCGTGGAAATCACAGAGGGAAGGAGGGTGGACGCTTCTGCTTCTAATCCAAATCTTCTTTTATTGAAGCTTAGTAAATAACCAAAAGAAATAAATGCTTGTAAGAAAATCAGAAGGTTCTAAGAAGTAATTAGTCCATAAAAAGTAGTAACACAAAGCAATGTCCACACAAGAAATAAAGGCAATCCAAGACAGCATTAATCCAGCCAGGAATCAAGCAGGATGCAAATACAATCCAAAAAACTAAAAAAAAAAAAACTCCACAGAAACAAGACCCCTTGAACAAGACTTCCATGGCACAAGAACTTGGTTTCCAAACGGTGCCTGATCTGACAGGTTTTCCTTTGAGGCAAACTTTATATCCTAAAACTCAGAAATTGGTTTCATTCCCCCCCCCCCCCCACACACACACACACATTTTCCCTTTATCAGACGCAGCCTTTCGGAGTAACATAAATACTGAGTTTGTTGTCGATCCTGGCTGATCCCCAGTGGCCTTTTCTTCCGCTCCCTATCTGGCTGCTCATTAAAATTCCCAGGTGTCAGTTTGTTTTCCAAACCCAAATCTTGAGAGCTCACAGAGAGAGGGAGTGAATTGTCATTGCTAGGCCCAGGGATATTCTCATGAGAACCTGTCCTTTGCATTGGGGCCTCTCTGTCATTGTCTGTATGAAAATCATTGACCAAACCATCTCCATCTTGTACCTCAGCCTTGGCACCATCATTTCCCTCATCATTTCCTTCATCAAGATCCTGAAACACAAACACAGGCTGATTCCCAACAGGAACTAGGCTTTTGGCTACACTTTGGACATTGGATTGGACCATATGATGATTGTTATGATAATGGAAACAACTTTGATTGTATAATTAATGTTAATTGTTTAATCTATTGTGTTCTTATGGTTTTATATTGTTGTTATATAATGATATTGCGGCATCGAATTGTTGCCAATGTTAGCTGCTCTGAGTCGCCCCTCAGGGGTTGAGAAGGGCGGGGTAGAAATGCTGTAAATAAATAAAATTATATATATACATACTCGTGTAGTAGAACTGACGAAGGCCTAGAAAGTGTTCTCTTTAGGAATCTCTAGGTCATGTTGGAAAACCTAAAGATTTCTAGAGAGAACATATCTATCAAATCCCCAAATGATCAAGTCTACAAAAGTGAAATACGGAAGGCCAACCATATTGTTTTCGTCATGTTGCATTTTATTGTGTTGTTCCTTGGAATCTTTCTTGGGATGGAAATAGGTTACTTACTTAGGCAATCCCTCGTTGGACGAGTAAGATGGTCTTCCATGATGGGTTTCCTTGTGGATTTGTAGGTGGCTGTGGAGCCCTATTCTTGACCCGCATCTTCTCCCACAGTGAAGGCGTTGGTTTCCAGGTGGAAGGCGGTCCCGGTCGGGGTTGGCTTGAGGTGCCTTCCTCCTGGCACGTTTCTTTCTTTCACCCTCCACTTGTGCCTCCTCGAATGCTGCAGCACTGCTGGTCACAGCTGACCTCCAGCTGGAGCGCTCAAGGGCCAGGGCTTCCCAGTTCTCAGTGTCTATGCCAGAGTTTTTAAGGTTGGCTTTGAGGCCATCTTTAAATCTCTTTTCCTGTCCACCAACATTCCGTTGTCCGTTCTTAAGTTCAGAGTAGAGCAACTGCTTTGGGAGACGGTGGTCAGGCATCCGGACAACGTGGCCGGTCCAGCGGAGTTGATGGCAGAGGACCATCGCTTCAATGCTGGTGGTCTTTGCTTCTTCCAGCACGCTGACATTTGTCCGCCTGTCTTCCCAAGAGATTTGCAGTATTTTCCGGAGGCAGCGCTGATGGAATTGTTCCAGGAGTTGCATGTGACGTCTGTAGACAGTCCACGTTTCGCAGGCATATAGCAGGGTTGGGAGGACAATAGCTTTATAGACAAGCACCTTGGTATCCCTACGGATGTCCCGGTCCTCAAACACTCTCTGCTTCATTCGGGAAAATGCTGCACTCGTAGAGCTCAGGCGGTGTTGTATTTCAGTGTCGATGTTGACTTTGGTGGAGAGGTGGCTGCCAAGGTAGCGGAAATTGTCAACATTTTGTAATGTTACACCATTAAGCTGTATCTCGGAAATAGGTTATGTGTCCCCTGGTTCTGCCTGGCTTGTCTCTTCAACCACAGTTAGGGAATATTACTTTTTTGGACTATTATTCCCTGTATCCTCAACTTATCACGACCATGGTTGCAATACAGCTCCGTCACAAAGAGGCAGTGAAAGAGTGAGCCAGCCATGACCAAAGGTTTGCTGTCCTTCTTTCCTGGAGAGGGACAGAAATTTACCAGCAACAGCAACATTGCCACTTATCAGGCCAAGGTGTTGAGAGCAAACAAGACCATGACCCAGTCGGTCAACCTTTCTTAGGGGAAGCCTTTGTTTCAGCCGTCCATTGCATTCCAGCCTTGATGTAGAGTCGTGCAAACAGTGTCTATCTTGCACAACAGTCCTCCTCAG